ACTAATTTTTTATTTTTCTAATAATTTTGAGTAACATTCTTAAGTTTTAAGAATTTAGTTTTCATAGTTACACTAATAAGAAATTTATACAATTTTTTGTGTTATTTTTTATTAGCATTTTCATATTTATCATACTTTTACATCTTGCAAATCATAAATTTTCATTATTGGGGAAATAATTTTATAAAAAAATTCCACTACATTATTTTCAAGCTAGATTTTTTATCTTTGTACTAGTTTTGAGTAATATATTCTTATGTTTTAGGAATTTAGTTTTCATTGTTATACCAGTCAGAAATTTCTCTCACTTTTTGTGTTGTTTTCTTTTACCATTTTCATATTAATCATACTTTTACATCTTACATATCACACACTTTCACTACTGAGGAATTATCATTTATCTCTACGTTTTAAGAATTTAGTTTTCATAGTTATATTAGTAAAAAAATTTTACAATTTTTTGTATTTTTTTTTATCATTTTCGTATTTATCATACTTTTACATCTTAAAAATCACACACTTTCATTATTGGAGAATTTTTTATATAAAAAAATTTCACTGCATTGTTCCAAGCTACTTTTTTTTTATTGTTCTACTAATTTTGAGTAATATCTTTACGTTTTAGAGATTTAGTTTTCACAGATTACATCAGCTAAATTTTTGTATAATTTTTTCTGTTGTTTGTTTTACCATTTTCATATTTATCTTACACTTACATCTTATGTATTACACACTTTTATTATTGAGAAAATTCATTCATAAAAAAATTTCACTGCACTGTTTTAAACTAGTTTTTCATTCTTCTATCAATTTTGAGAAATATTTCGAAGTTTTAGGAATTTAGTTTTCATATTTATACCATTCAAAATTTCTACAATTTTTTGTATCATTTTCTTTTACCATTTTCATAGTTATTATACCTTTACATCTTACATATCACTCACATTCATTATTGGGGAAGATTTTTTATAAACAAAATTCAATGTACTATTTGATCGGTTACATCGATTATAACTTGTTCTGATCGGTCATATATGAGATTACATCGATCAAAAAGTTTTTCAAGTGGTTTTAATCGATTATTTTGAAGTTTAATCGATTAAAATACTGTCAACACATTTTTCAAAACATTTTAAATGATTTTAATCAATTATTTTGAATCTATATCAGTTAAAACACTGACAGAAGGTTTTCAAATACTCTTTTAATGAAAATAATCGATTATTTCGAAAGCATATTAGTTAAAAATATGTTATGTAAGTTTTAAAAACATTTTAATTGATAAAGTTCATATAATATCAGTTAAAACAATTTCTTAAAAACCATTTAACCGATTACTTTGGTTTTTAACAGATTAAATCATCTTTAAAGGCTTTTCAAATTCTTTTAAATGAACCTCATGCAGTAGAGAGAGATGAATGATTATACTTATGTATAGATGCAGACTCACTAATTACTCTACCCTTTAACCCAAGTGACATTTGACTTCATCAAATCCGTAAGATACTCGTTTTATCAAATGATTCAATAAGATCTTCATCACTTTCATATCACACATTTTCATTATTGGGGAAATTTCTTTATAAAAAAATTTCACTGCACTGTTTCAAACTAGTTTTTTTCTACTAATTTTAAGTAATATTTCTACGTTTTAGGAATTTAGTTTTCATAGTTACACCGGTCAGTATTTTCTACAATTTTGTGTTATTTTTCTTTTATTATTTTCATATGTATCATACCTTTACATCTTACATATCACACATTTTTATTGTTGTGAAAAAAAATTATAAAAAAATTTCATTGCACTATTTCAAGCTAATAATTTTTTTATTAGTTTTGAGTAATATTCTTACATTTTAACGATTTAGTTTCCATAGTTATACGAATCAAAAATTTCTATAAATTTTTGTATTATTTTCTTTTACTATTTTTATATTTATCGTACATTTACATATTACTTATCACACACTTTCCTTATTAAGGAAAATTTATTTATGAAAAATTTTTATTGCACTTTTTCAAGGTAGTTTTTTATTTTTCTACTAGTTTTGAGTAATATTCTTATACTCTAGGAATTTAGTTTTTATAGTTACACCAAACAAAAATTTCTACAATTTTTTGAGTTGTTTTCTTTTATAATTTTCATATTTATCATACTTTTACATCTTATATATCACACACTTTCATTATTGGGGATATTTTTTAATAAAAAAATCAACTGTATCTGTTTTAAGTTTTAAGTGTTTTTTTTTTTGTTATTTTCTTTTAGCATTTTTATATTTATCATACATTTACATCAAACATATCACACTTTCATTATTAGAAAAATATTTTTATAAAAAAATTCCACTATATTGTTTCAAATTAGTTTTTTATTTTTCTACAAATTTTGAGTAATATTCTTATATTTTAGTCGAAATTTCAACAATTTTTTGTGTTAGACAAATGGCATCTAGAGGGGGTGAATAGATACACAAATTAAAATAGATGTCAAATTAAAAATTTATTTGTGAGTCAATAATTTGTTTGAACACAGATAAAGCGGAAGCGATAATATACTGGTTCGGGTATAACCAACCAGGAAAAGAGAAAGAGATAAGGAAAAGAGAAGAACACACAGAGATTTATACTGGTTCGGGTATAACCAACCCTACATCCAGTTCTCAGTCAACTCTTAACACAAGAGTGACTCCTCATCCACTATCTTTCAAATTCAGTTTACTCAGCAGAAGAACCAATAAAAAGTAAACTAATTAAAAAGACAATCACTTCCGTAGAAACCCACTAAGGATGAACACCTCCCTAGAATCCCACTAGGAATGAACACATCCTCTGAACAAATCAAAGGATGAAAAACACCTCCTTAGAATCCCACTAAGGATGAACACCTCCCTAGAATCTCACTAGGGATGAGCACCTTTCTGAACAAATCAAAGGATGAAAAACACCTCCTTATAATCACACTAAGAATGAACACCTCCCTAGAATCACATTAGGGAGGAAAAACACCTCCTTTTCCACCAATGCAAAAAGGATGAAGGTAATAAAAATAAGAACAGACACACCTGGGTAATGGAGACAACAAATTGTAGAAGCGTGTAGAATGTCAATCTCCAAGAACAAGTGTGATTAACAATGAAAGCACAGAAGACAGTAGAGAAGAGGGTTTTCTCAAAAGGTGTAAAATATCTCTGTTGTCTTACTCAGAATTCTTTTCTCAAAACTGATTGAATGTAAATTGTATTTTCGAATTCTATAATTGTGTGTTTTTGATTTTTCATCAAAACTTAATTAAATAGAAAAATAGCATCAGAAAATGGCCGTTGGACATTAATAATATCATAGAGAAAATCAGGATGTATTCAAAAACATTTATTCTTTAAAACGGATATATTTTTCAAATTTGAATTGTCATAATTGATTATATTACCAATATAATTAATTATGATAGAGAAAATCATTTTTCCATTTCTGATGCATCATAATTAATTATTACGAGAGAAAAATATCATGTTATGAATTTTATCACACGTGTGCTTTGGAGGCTTATGCTTAATATTACTTCATCAACTTGTACCTCCATATCCAGTATTCTAAGACTCTATCTAGTTTTCAGGAATCATCTTGGGCTTGCTTGAATAATCATTTTTATCAAAAACATATCTTGGGCATGCAGAGAAATGTTTCACATTTTCACCAACATCATAAATTCAGCTTATCCTTAATTCATCTTGAATGGTGTTGACTTGAATGTAGTTGACTTGAATCATCATCAAAATCATCTCTTAAGAATGTAGGGACATTTCCATCAATCTCCCCCGCATTGCTTTCATTTTGTATTGTTTTCTTTTACCATTTTCATATTTATCCTACATTTATATCTAACATATCACACATTTTGATTATTGGGAAAAAAATTGTATAAAAAAGAAATTCCACTTGGTAAGATAAAACGTGTAACAGATTATAATAAAAATTGTAGGATAGGAAAAGATAATATTTTTGTACATGTTCTATTAATAAATAAATGAATAAGTTATAAAAATACTAAAATATAAAAATGATACAAGATATTATAATAAAAAAATACGGGTTAAATATTTAAAAGAGATATTAAAAGGTATTTCATACTAATATATATATATATATATATATATATATATATATATATATATATATATATTATTTTACCAATTATGTAAAGTAGAAAACTTTGATATGTTATAGGCTGTGATGATGTTTAGACATGAGTAAAGTAAGATTGTCTTGTAGAGGAGACATATTGTCTGAAAGGACGAAATAAGTGAACATAGAAGAGAAAAAAAGCCTTGGTATCAGGGAGGGATGCAGACATGGAAACCAACATTCGTGAAAAACAAGGAAAAAAAAACAGTAAATCAAGGAAACTAACATTACATTACATAGTGTTCATAAAACCCTTCCCAAACCAGCCAAAACACTCCCAAAAGTAAATGTACTTTTTTTTTGTTTTAATTTAGAGCCCACACATTTCTTCCTTCCTTTTTGCTGTTCTACACTAACTCATTCTTTGATTCATGTTGTGACTATTCTATTGGCTAAACTAGCCAGCATTTTAACCTTAATTATTTTTCAGTCATTGGAACCTAGAGTGCACTTTAATGATTGGAATATCAAGTTATTAATAATTTCCTGTGAAAAAAGACAACAAAATATGAAAAAAAGAATAGTTTAGATAAACACCCCTCCCAGTTTAAGTTGATGAACTCCAATTAAAGTGTGGACCCCCTAAACCACTACTCATCGATAGAGATATAAATATAAGCATCCATATACATCCCAAAAGCCATCTATCACTCGCAAGTTCCAAATGCATCATTAATTTTAAGCTGTTCAACCTCAAAAACTAATCCTCCTGCTTAACTTTCAATAGGAAGAAAGACCTGAGTATATCTCCACCTCCATTTGTTAAGGTGTTATACTTCCTTACTTCTTTGGTTCTTCCCAAGAGTTTTCTTCAAATGAGGCTTTCTTTTGTTATTTACCTTCTGCTCTTGTCTCTCTTTCTCACCAATGCTCGAGGTAATTAATTTAAGTACTACATTTTCTGCAGAACTTCATTTAGACCTTCTGTTTTGTATGATGTATCTGCTGGATTTGTCATGTTTGTTGTTTTGGTTCAGGGATTCGCTTGGGGAAAGAGTCTTTTGCAGCTAAGCAACATAAACAACATGTTAGTGATCATTGCTTTGATGTTTTACGAACTTGTGTCTTTCTGTATAAATCTCAACCTTCAGTTATAACTTCACACACAAACATTTTTTCCAGTTTTAATAGAACAAAAGCAAAATCTCTTCTGATTGCAGGATCAAGAAAGCAATTTGTTGAGAAGAATCAACAGTGCTGCTAACAAGGAAGCTATTCTCTGCAAAGATGAACAATATTGCGCAGGTACCCTAAAGAAGAGAGCCTCTAGAGTCCCCAGAAAACCAAACAAGCTGTTACCACGCATTCATGAAGATTATAGTGAACCAAGACATCATAGACCTAGACACCATTAATATTGTAGTCCAGAAATTCATTTTTCTTTGTTATTTTGTTATAGTACAAACATTCTTCTGAATCTTATTACCTACGACACCTTATATTCCTTGCTTCTGATTCCCCTCCCCCGAGATGACATCTATTTTTGTTGTTATAATTTAGAAAGAAAAAAGAAGAAATTATTCTCGTTCCATTTTCTTGTTCTGAACTAAAACTTTGCAATGTATTTTATACTAAGCAACATGCAAGGAAATTTAGTACTAACATGACATCCGCTATGCCGCATTGTTGCTGCAGGAAATATAGAGACTAGGAAATCTGTTACTTCATCAACTTCCACAACCCAAGATATTTCAAAGGTTGGTTTATTTTATTTATATATATATATATATATATTTATTTTTTGTATGTATGTATGTATGGTAGTTTAAATGTCCACTCAAAAGAAACCTTGGAGTGTCTTCTTTTCCTATTTATGATTTATATACATTTACTCCATGGAATGGACAGAATGTGAAGAATGGAGGGAATGAAGCACGAAGCCCAGAAATAATAGTAAATAAGCAACGAGAGCTTTCTCATGAGCACTATCTGGACCTGGTAGACATTGCTGGCATGGACTATTCTTCTGCTAAGAAAAATCCTCCCATACACAACTAAGTCTGGCGATTAGCAACAAGAAAAATAATGCAGAATTTTAGGTCAAAGAATAATTTGTAAATTTTATTCTATTATGAGTGTTTTAAGTTCTTTCGTCATAATTTTAGAACATTGATAAATTTACCCTTCAAATTTGGCTACATTCATTCAAATCCATTAAGTGATTGTTTTATAAAAATGTCATATTATTAGACCTATTTATTGATAAGTGAAAAATATTATTTAGAAAATGTGTTATCGAGGGATAAAACTTGATAATTAATTTTTTTATGACAAATATGTCATTTTGAACGAGGATTCAAAATATCTCAGGTTAATCAATTAAAGAGATTCAACCAATGAACAAATAAAAAAAAAATTAGTTCTTTATTGAGATTTTTCCTTATTTCAAACAGAACGATAGATTCTATAAAATCAGAATGGGTCGACTATTGATATTAATAAATAAAAAAATAATATATTATTATAGAGAATCAATTTCTTAAAAAATATATTTAAAAAAAAATTACTTATCTAATTAAATTTTTTAAATAATATATTTCAAAATAGTATGATAAAATGATTTTAAAAACATCAATTACTCATCTAATTAAAAAACATCAAATATTTATGAGTTAAATTTATTTTAATTTAATAATTTAATCTAGTTATAATTAGGTTAAATTACGAAGATTAGTTATATTAGGTAATTTTAAAAAAATTATTAAAAAACTATTTTAAAATAAATATTTAATTTTTTCCTTAATAATTATAACATAAAAATTTGTAATACCTTAAATTTATAATATAATATTTTTAAAATATAATATATTAAATAATAATATTTTAGATAATTTAAATATTTTTATTTTTTAAAAATAATAACAAATTCATGTCATCAAATTTTAATTTAATATTTTTAATTAAAAGAATAATACGAGTCACAAAAGAACAAAGGAGGCAGAGAAAAAAAAACAAAGAGGACTAAGAAAAAAAGAATAATAAGAAATAAATGAAAAGAGAGAAAAGTAAAAAAAATGAAAAAAAAAGTAAAATAAAGAGAATTTTATTTTTTATTATTGAATATTATGTTTCAACGATAGGGTGTTCTACCTGGAAAAATATAAGTAATTTTTTTAAAATATATTATTTAAAAAATTGATTCTATTATAAATACTCCATATATATATATATATATATATATATATATATATATATATATATATATATATTAATAATGATTAAACTTAATGGATCAAAATCATAAATATACGAGTACAAAATTGTAAGAGTCATACTTCTAAACTCAGAAGAAGATCCATCATTAGAAATGTAAAAATCTTATCTTCGTCTTGTTGATATTTTTTTCATTATTCTACGAACAATGGAGCATGAAAATGAATGCAAGTGGTTTCTTAGTGGAGATATATGATAAAAGATAAATGTAAGTTATATTTAAATTTATCTTAATATAATCAAAAAATTTCAAAGATTTTTTACTTTTGTCTTGTAATTCTTGACATAAACAAATAATTTGAAATATTCCCTACTAATTTTTTAAGACGTTAGGGAGTTAAATAATGTTTTTTAATAAAATTTTAAGCTAATAAGAAATTAAAATATCTAATAAAACTTTAAGCTAATAAGAAATCAATATATCTAATTTGATCTTCTAAAATGTTCAAGGTTACAGTTGTTATGTATTTACGAGGGGATTAATAGCAGAAAGATTCTCATAGGTCATGAGCCAAAGTGAATATGACATTAACTTCAACCGAAAACCTTAAGACATTAGATTATAGATATTTCTCACTTATAAATTATTCAACTTTTTTATTTTTACACAATATAAAACTTCAAACTCACACTTGAATTCTCCATAATAGTAAAACAAACACTTTAATTTTAGTTTGTGAAATGAAAGGGTAAAAGTCAATTTTAGATAACACAAAATTATAATAAAGTAATGATTTTCAATACTTATTAATTATATTTTATGTGAAAAATAATTTATAATGTGATACAAGGTTATTTTAACGATATTGATAAATTCATTTAAAAATATTAAAATTTAATTCAAAAATTGAGATAGTATAAGATAAATTGAAAGAGATAACATGTTAAGAAAAATTCTAAAAACGTTTTCAAGAAAAAAAAAATCTTGAAAACTTATCGTTATTTTAATTTGTATTGTTTGAGGATATAAAATATTATCGAGAATTATTTGTATTTACAAGAATGGAATATAGATTTTGAAAAAAAAGAAAGGAGGGAATTTCAATTTAAGCATCTAGGGAATATAATTATCAGTAACACATTCGGTTCTCCAAATAATTTTTTTTAGATTGATTTAAATGAAATATAGAACCCATTTTTTTATTATTTTTTTAGTGTGATTAATTCTTTTGAAATATCATATACTCCTACTTGTTGTGGTAAGTCCTAGAGGATTCTATATACATAACCCTACTCACATCTATTATGCAAATAAAACTTTGATTTCTTAAAAAAATGTCATGATTTGATACATTGGTCAAGTTTATAAATGATATATATCCCCTGTTAAAGATTTAGAAAGATGGATCAAAAGGATATTAATAAGAGAAAGTTAGGGAGAAAAGATGAAGAGTAAATACGTCCTCAAGAAATTTATGACACCAATCACTAACTATCTCTCTTGTGTGTTGTTGCTATCAAAACTTTGCATCAATCACACCTATTAAGATTATGGACAAAATGCCCTAATGCAACATAAACTTTGTTTTTGGTTTAATTATCATTTTTAATTTTATATTTTAAATTATTTAATTTAATCTTAACTTTTAAAAATATATTATTTTGATTCTTTCCATATATTTAAATTTGATATTATCATTTAAAATTTTATTAAGTAATTAAATTCATAAAATATGTTATTTTTATTTTTACATTGAATATCATAATATTTTTTATCACAAAGTTATAAAAATATTAATTTCTATTTCTAAAAATTTAATGGCTATAATTAATCAATTTTTTTTAAATATTAAAACCAAAATCAATAGGGAAGTGCGCAATAATAATATCGGATTCCTTTGATTTTGTTTTCACTGTTTAAAAGTAATTTGGTTTTCAATATATTTATTCTTAAAAATTTATTTTAAAAATAAAAAATAAATATTTTTTATATTTTAAATTTAATAATTAAGATAAATTATTAAATAATAAAAAAATTATTCTTTAAATAATAAATCTCATATAAAAAAATTAAAATCTCATTTTGAAAAAATATTTTTTAAATATTTATGATCAACTATATAAGAAAAATTGTTTAAACATTAAAAAGATAAAAGAAAATCCATAAAATAAACTCTACTATCCCATTTGATATTTTAAAATGATTATTATTAATATTAATATATAAATTATAATTTTTATTTTATTATTTCAATATATATATTATCTCAATAATTTGTAGCTTTCACACCTCTCTATGTTTAATATAGAAAAAAATTCTTAAATAAAATATTCCTTACGAATATTATATTCTATAATTCATATAAAAAAAGAATTCATAAAGTTTACTGCATTGATACATTTTCAGAATATTTTCTTAATATTGAAATATTTTAAAACAATATGAGAAATCTTTATTACCATAATATATTATATAGAGAAATAAACTTACATTGATAATATACAGATAATGTATATAAAATTTAAATAATCTTTAATATAAGATCATTTTATAAAATACTAAATAAACCTATGCACAAAATATCTCTTATTAACACTATTTTAACTTCCTATATACAAAATAGAACTATGGATAACTTTATAAATCATGATCTATGTAAGAACATTAATTTCTTAATCGACTCCTCATTATATCGATCTTAGTTTATCTAATCGATCGATGAAACTTTAAATCTTATTGAATATCTATAAATATAATTGTTATACTAATACTATACATTAGACTACTTGTCCTTGACTAATTTGCCTCACAACATATACACATTTCAACTAATTATGAAACACATTTCTTCTTTGACTTAACCTTTCACCTATATATTTCAGTCAAGAATCACTCCTAACTCAACTTAGTCTCGTTTAGATATATTTTAGTGAGTTACGAGTCATGTATTCAAGTTTCACTTAACCTCGCACATAATACACAACATCAAAATAACTCACTTAAATAACTATTTATTGCTTAAGCAAAATATCTAACCCAAATTATTTTTTCTCTTCCTTTATTAAGCAATCTCATATAAGCAACCTCATATGGCTTGAGTGACATAATTATTTCACTTCAACACCATAATTTTGACTTGAGCAAAGTGTCTCTAGAAACAAGTCTTCCATTCTATTATTTATTTTTTCTTGAGCGACTAACGTAACAAAACAACCATTGTTTCTCTATTTGTAGTTCCCTTAAGTATCCACATGTTCTTTAAGGGAAATACAAACTATACTAATTCTCTCTCTTCTATAAGAATTATCATTTGAATGAAAGTCAAGTTATACCAATGCTCTGTTTGACTTTTTCACTTGGATAACAAAATTCTTGCTTGAGCAACAAGAGTCGTAACAAAGAAATTATCTTCCTTTTATACATTTTTCAAACACAGTACACAATAAAACCCACCATGACAATCCAAGAGAGTGGGCTAAATTCCTTCCCTAGACTAAATTTTGGTACACACTAGTATTGAATGACTCCATTCAAAGTTGTGTATGGGAGAGATTCCCCAAAGCTATTGAAGTATAATCCTATTACAACTTATCCTATTTTTGTCCATGAGCAACTTTTGCAAAAAAAATTTATATTGAACAAATTAAAGATCAATCTTCACAAATCTTGATGGTTTATGAAGAAATATGTTGATTCAAGAAGAAGAAATAATGAATTCCAATTAAGGGACATGATATTAGTTAAACTATAACTACATAGGCAATATTCAGTTGTTTTGAGTAAGAACCAAAAGTTGAAATTTTGGTCATTTTCCAATGATTGAATATAGGTTGATACTACCTCTTAACCTATTGCAATCCAGACTGATACGTAAAAGAACTAAAAATGTGCAACAGCATGTAATATAATGGGAAGGATCAAATAAGTCTCAAGCTGCTTGGGAAGATCAACAAACTATTGAGGAAACTTATCTGAAACTTGGAGAACAAGATTTATTTTAATGGGGAGGAATTGTAACAAATAGTAGAGCAATGAGTAATGAAAATGCTCCTTCAAATGTAACACCACACGTTGCAATTGAGTAATACAACGAAGGAAAAACATGCGCAATAGACTAATTCTATGCTACCTACCATATTTTACTCATTAACTGGACCCGATATTTATTCATTCCCTTAATTTTTGAATCCCATAAACTATACACATTACAAACAAAATTGAATTAACAAAGAATTGCTAGGAAAAATAGAGTACGGAACAGCACTTACATAGGTGGTGAGTAAGTTTTAGGCAAAAGCGAAAAGAAAAAGAAAAGAGGAAACAATGGAAACGGGAGCAGGTCACGTAGACATTTCTATCCTTCCCAGTTTAAGAACAAAAAATGTTTCAAGGAGAGTAAAATACAAGCATAGTTGTTTGCAGATTCGTTGCTCGTCAAATAACGAACAAGTTCAACAAGTGATTTAATTACGTTTAGTTATTATGCAATAATCTTACTCGGAAAAATCAATTTGTCAACACAACAAAAAAAAGGAGAGCTGACCAAGAAATCTATCCATTTTCTTCTTCATAATCAATGCTTTGGTTGTTTTCCTTTGCTTTTACGTTCAATGTTTTGATTTTCGAAGGATAAGACAGCATTGAATATTCTTCTAGTCTTTTTATAATTGAGATTGCCAAATTGACTTTATATATGATTATTGTCACGAACTGAGCCTAAGCCCCAATACATCCCTTTGGTGTATAGATGAAAGCAAACTTGGTTCCTTACAGAACAAAAAATCTCAATTATTGCCCCAATATGTAGAAAAAATATAACAATTACATTCTAAAGTACAACTTGATGATAGATTAATCCTTACACTTTTCAATTTAATTTCAAAGTAATCTTCAAAAACATGCAACTTAATATCAACTGGTCCTCATACATTATAACTTAATAACAAAATATTAAATGAAACTTGATGACCGAGCATAGTCACATATATTAAAATTCAATGACTAAATAAATTTTCGTTCTTCCATGAACCAAATTATCATTCATTTATACTTTCAATTGTTAACATGATCATTTACCCGTAAGATAATTATTTTTTATCAAGGGCAACATACATTCATACGGCAATATGGTACGATATGTAACCCAGAAAATGAATAATAGCAAAGCAAATAAAAGGAATAACAAAAATCCAGTCTAGATTCGAGTAGGCATGACCTGAATATCAGAAACCATGGCAACTACTGTTCAACAAACATAATGTATATTAAAATTAAATTTAAAATTAGGAACATATAAACTCATATAGCACTAAGCCTTACAAAGATATAAAAAATTGATTCGATCTTTAACTAAACCTTGAAGTATTTGAACAGAAACTTCTATTACCCGTAAGGGAAGGTGTACCCTTTAACGAGTGCTGAAATTCAAATCTCACATTCCAGTAAATGCCTTCTTTGCACCACTGGAGGATCCTGCTGGAATCACTTTCAGGACATTAAACCTCACTGTTTTCGAAAGTGGCCTATACATATATAGCACAGATAAAGGTAATTAGGAGGTTAAATCTATGCAATAAACAGCAACATACTCCCACATTAGAAATCCAAGAAAAGGTTTACCCAATAAAGATCTAACCTGCATTGACCAATAATAACATGATCTCCTTCTTTAACACGGAAACAAGGGGATATATGTGCAGGAATATTTGAATGCCTTTTTTCATATCTAAATAGAAAAGGCACGTAAGAAACAGTTATGCTCATGTATGTAAGCAAGTACTACGAAAACTGCTCACCAAATGTATGAAAGGGGAATACCTCTGGTATTTCTTAATAAAATGAAGATAATTCCTTCTAACAATAATGGTTCTTGTCATCTTAGCACTGTGACAGGTACCAGCTAGGATACGACCCCGAATGGAAACATTGCCAGTGAAGGGGCACTTCTTGTCAATAAAGGTTCCTATGCAGGGGGAAAAGGGCATTGGTTTAGAAACAGAAATGACATCTTGATACAAGGTAAAAGAGACTAAGTGAAATACTTAAGATGACGATCACGAGGTTATGATATGAGCAATGAAATTAAACTATGACCTTTAAAACACATATTGTTTCTCATTAGATTGAACTTGAAAGGACTTAGATTCAAGTAATAATAGCATTCTGTTCTCAAGATTGCAGCTACTTCCCAACAACCCGTAAACGACATGACAATTGAACATCAACATTTTCTTATGTTCATAGATAAACCATTTTTAAGTTCTCATAACACGACATCAATCACATTTTAAACTTTAGTCTTCACACCAGTCTTGCGTCTCCTCCTCTACATGCATGTTTCACAAACAATGAAGTAAAACATTATAAATTCCGATTTCTCAAAAAAACAAAATATTTAATGAATATTTCACATTGAGTGATAATCTAAGAATGCAGAGCCGCATTATTTTCACGCGAAGCCTCAACCAATGAACTACTTCCCATGCAAACTCAAGACATAAAAAAAATTGCATCACCTAGGCTTATACATTCCGAAAATAAGTCAGGCCTACCTTATCTATGGAGTATTACATTATATAAACTACTATTACTAGAGATTAACAACTTCACAACACAGACAACAAATATGCTACATGACACCAAAACATCAGAATATAATTGAAAGATAAAAAATTAGAGGAAAGAGACAGCAGATAGGCCCCAGTACCTGAGCATGTCCGATGTCTCTAATATGGAATTTAGCAGCACCCGCATTCTCAAATTTTAATGTGCGTGTGTGTGTGTGTCTATATATATATATATATATATATATATATATATATATATATATATATATATATATATATATATATATATATAGAAGCCATAACAATATCATAAATCCTTGAAGAGCAAAGTGAAAATTGCTCATCTGATACGTAAAATCACATCAAACATACCTTCAATGGCATCTCTGGGAGTCTTGAATCCAAGCCCAATGGACTTCCAAAAGCGATTCCCACCTTTCCCTGGCCTCTTTCCCTTCCCACCTTTCTTAGAGCTTCAAAATCGATCAAAACAGATACCAACAAAACTAAAACATAAGTAAACTAAATCAAATAAGAGAATTAAATGATGCTTTATTCTGTGAATCAGCATACCATAGAAACACTTTTGGTTGCTTCAAAAAAGCCTTCTCAGTCTGCAAACCAAAATTAAAAAACAAATTATGAATAGTGAGTTAATGCAACGCGACAAAAGAACAATTGTTATTAAGGAAACTAACTAACTTGTTCAGCCATGGTTGGGTCTTTGTTTCAAAGGGCGAAGCTTGCAGTTACGGAAGAAAAAGCTTCAACACAGAAACAACCGCATCCGAAAAACCCTAAGCGGTAGCATCGAGACTAGTTATATAACACATCTTCTTCTCCATCTTCACATTTCTGGACTTTGGTAGATGGGCTAGCCCACATTTGATGCTGCCCGTGAGGCCCGAAATTACATAGACACGGCATAAGAATTCCATTACATGTTACAAAGTACTTCTTTACATAAAAAAAAATAATAACAATAATAAAATAAATAAATTGATTTATTATCTCTCACCTTTTTGCCTTAAAATTAAAAAAAACTTTAATTTTTTCACATTATCTAACAAACCGTGAGAAAAAAAAATTGTGAATGCCTAATTTCATTAAAATTATTATTATTAAATAATTAAAAGGAAAAAGTTAAAAGAAGATAAATATCTAAAACGTTTCTGATATTAGCTTGCCATATAGCACCTACAAGTGCTCCTTATAGTCCACGTTTTGGACAATGCCAATCACGGGTTTGAACTTCTGATACAAACTTCAAAGTAGTTTCTCCACACCCACCTAACTTGTAGTTGCCTTTAGTACACAAAAAATAGAATAGAACACGTGTTTCAATATACTACATTGTTTTTTTTCATATGTTATTATTATGAAAGCCAAGTGTGAATGTCTGAAAAGGAAACACCTACTACCACTCCAAACATTTTTATTTACTACCTTATCAATTAAGTCAATGCCCTATTCTCGTAGAGTTTGCCACATCAAAATTTATAGGTCTCAATAAATTATACAATTCCCACATCATTGGTGATTTCTACCATAAGTTTTTTTTTTTTTTAACAATTTATCACGTTGAAAACATGTTTGATTATTTTATTACTTCTTCATCTAAAAATATAAAAATCGCTTTTTTTTATAAGATTATTGTCAATATTATAATATAATAAAACTAATGTGAAAATATTATCCTATTCGTAGACGGAATAATTATAATAGCAACCACGCAAGTCAAGTCATAAAATATGCATGATGATTCTCAAAAGAAAAATCTTTCTTTTCTGTATTTGTAAACGTGTAAGATTACTAAATTTTTCGCATGACATGTATGCATAATAATTACGATATTTTTCATTTTGAGCAACTCTATAAAATGAAGAATTTGAGAAGACACGTGTTGTCAGAGACTTCATTACACGTAATCATTAAAGAAACATAAATGAAAAAGACAAAGGACAGAAGAAAAATCAACGTCTAAAAAAGAATGACTCACCACACACAAAAAACGTATGAATAAAAAAAATAGTTGTAAGAATCCTTACCAATATAATTAACAATAAATAAAATTATAATATCCAAATTCCAAAATCATCCTTACCGATATATTAACTTTTTTGTATTCTATTCAATTTTTTAAATATGTTCATTTTTTATTAATTATGAATTGTATTTTTCTTTTATATATTTATTATTTTTTAAATATTAAAATTTTCAAAACTATGATATTTTTTTCTTCCCTTATAAAATTTAAAAAAAATTACTAGATACACTTGAAAAATCTGGACAGCAGGAGGAGATTTTCAAAAATTGAAAATGAAATTGGTTCTGCTACAATTATTGATGAAGACTAAACCACAATATTTCCACATGTGAGGAAACCTACATTAAAAGGAACAGAAACTTTGCTCCATGTTCTTTTTACTTTTTGGCTAGTCATGTTATTTTGTCTTATTCTAATGTTTTTACATTAAATATTATATGAATATTTTATTTAATTTCTTCAACAAATAGGTTTTCTTAATTTACACACTACCAATAAAATTATATTTTATTAATTAATCTAGTTTTATTTTAACTTTTTTTAATCGAAAAGCTTTCGTATATCTGTGGCTTTTACATTTAATCTTATTTTATTAAATAAAATATTATTATAATTAAAATATATTAAATATCATGCTCAATATTAAATATTGAGTACATTTAAATATTTGTGGAATAAAATATATTTTTAAAGTAAATATTCTATATGAAAATAATTCAGCATGATATTTAATTTTATGAATTTAAGTATAAAATATTTCAAATTTCTTGAGTTTAAACAATATATTAAAAAATTGCGTTATAAATGTTTTATTTTGTTTATATTAATAAAGGGAACGGTTTTTCATTTTTTTTATTATAGTAAAGATAAATGTCAATAACATATGTCTTTATTTTATTAGAATTTGATAATATTTATAAAATTTTGTTTAAATTTGTTACATAAAAATAAATCACGTATATAATTTCTTGAGTTTAAATTATATATTGAAAAGTTGTGTTAAAAAAAATGTTTTAGAGTACCATTTTTAGGTATATCAATGGTGTAAAAAAAGTAAAGATAAATATAATTTAAAATAATAATTATAAGAACCCGTAAACTTAGTGTGTATATATATATATATATATATATATATATATATATATATATTCGATTGTAAAAGGACAAGAATATAAAATATTTTGATGGTGGAGATCAATAAATAAAAATCATGATAAAGAAAATCTTAAAATAGTAATCATAAAAAAATATAAATTTTATAATATAAAACAATATGTGATTGTATGATAGGATAAGAATGTAAAATGTGATATTCAAAAGAAATATCATGTGATTGTGTGATGGGGTAAGAATTAAAAATATTTTCTCAATATTTTATTTTTGTTTCTTGTATGAAAAGGGAATGATGATGGCCCATTTGCCAAAATTCCATTCCAACCATGTGAGAAATATTTTGATGGAAAGATGCGTAATAAAAGCAGCAACCATGTAACCCCATTTTCAGCCACGCTTTCGTAGAAATCTCTGGAGTTTAGCCTCAACCTTCTCGTCTCCTTCTCACTGACACCAATAACTAACAACTCTCGCTATAAGCTCTTTTCACTTTGTTCTCAACTTTTTGCAACATATCTTCAGAATCTATCTTCATTCTCTCTCTATAGCACAAGCCACAAGCCACACACACAAAGTTGCATATACCAGGATCAGTCTTAATACTCTCACTTTCCACATCAACAGAGAACCTCTCCTACCCCACGATTGCTGGTGCCACCATGTGTATACAGGACGCTGAGAAAGATATGGATAATAGCTCAACAAATTCATGGCCTTTGCATTGTCACCTTTTGCTCACCACCCACATGGACAAAAAAGGATCTTTTCTCAGACCTTCATCAACTGATGACACCACCAATATCACTGTTCGAAGTTCCTATCCTGTGAGTGTTGCTTTCTCTCTGATACTTTCTATCTCAGTTTTCTCCTTCGTGTTCTGTTTTTTTTTTTTTTTTTTTTTTTCTGATGGGTGATAATTTTGTGGAAACTCTTCTAGTCAAGCTCAACTGTGTTTTACATGGCATGAAAATTGTGAAAATTGATTTTAGTCTCTTGTTTTATTACTGTCCCTTTTGAAGACATGGTTTTTCTGAATTTGACATTGGTTTGTATGTCATGTTTTTCATCGATGATTTTAATGTTTTCTTGGTGGAAGAGAATTTCCTAGCAAATGAAATATGAGTTTGACAGATGTTTTTTGTCTAATATAGTAATATTTGTTTGGATGCTAAAAAAATTTGACAGTAAATGCTTGCTTTTTTCATCTGAACAGTCATTTTTTCTCTTAAGATGAAAACTTGGAGCAATTATCTGATCTCGGGGTTGCGTAATTTGGTTTTTCTCTCACGTGATTCTGAAGTGCTTGATGGTGTTAGTTAGAAGTGGTTGTGACAGAAATTAGTTAGTTCAGTCTGCTTGAATGCACTGTAGCTTATTTGTGAAATAATTGATTGTGTTGCCGACTGAATCAGTTTGCATTGCTGGCAATTGAATTGTCTTTTTTTGCTGTATTCCTTTTCTACTTGATTGTTGTCCACAGAATTTGTTGTTGTTCTCCGTGAGTATACCTTTTTGAGATTACTTGAAATAACTTCAGGAATAACCCCAAAAGCAAAGCTGTTTTTTTGGCTCAATTATTGTGTTTTATGTATAATCTCAGGAGTACTTCTCTTACTTTTCATTGCTTTCTTGAGTTTGCTTAGCAGTTTCAATTTCCTAATTTATCCACTGTTATTGCTTCTATCATCTTAAGTCTCTTTTTCTTCTGTGGTGTATTTAGCTGGAAAGCATTTCTGAGGACGCGGTGATTGCAGACATGAAACAGAACCAGATGAGTTTAGCCCCGGCTCTTCGGTCTGGAGTTTGGTCTGACATTGGTGAACGCCCTTACATGGAAGACACTCACATATGCATTGGAGACTTGGCAAATAAATTTAACTATAATGCACTTTCTGGGGATGCTGTTTCCTTTTATGGTGTAAGCTATCTACCCAATTATGATAATTTCTTCTTGTCATGAATTTCAAATTAATGTTTCACTTCTTCTAAAACTATTTTGATTTTTTTTTTTTATATTACATGGATAGTTTAAACATTCTTGATCCATCACACTATCTAGGTTAGCTAGCAAGCAAGTCTTGAAGGGTTTACTGGATCAATTGATGAATATACTGAAATTAAGGAAATCTCATATAGATGATTAAATGGCAAAAAATATTACATGATGCTATTACATTTTAACTTTTCTTTAAATTGTATTTTTTACTAAATACTTAAAGTAGCAGGTCACAAGATTCAGTATTGAGATAGTCTTCATGTAAGATATTTAATGTTGAGATCTGATCTGACCTCTTATCTCTTGCATTGTCATCGCCTTCCCTCTCTTTTACTGTTTTAGTTGCATAACCATACTTGACAAAATGTGGGAAAATAGTGATGTAAGAGGACAAATGTTTTAGTCATGTTGTGAAGGAGGATATGCAATCTTTCAGGGTTTGACATGTGAAAGGAAACTGGTACAATGTGCAGGTATTTGATGGGCATGGAGGGAAGAGTGCTGCACAATTTGTACGTGATAATCTGCCAAGAGTTATTGTTGAGGATGTGAACTTTCCTTTGGAGCTTGAGAAGGTGGTCAAAAGGTCATTTTTGGAGACTGATGCTGCATTTCTAAAATCATCCTCTGAAGAGCCTTCCCTTTCTTCTGGTACAACTGCTTTGACTGCAATTATATTTGGAAGGTGAGAACTAGTCTCCTCTGTTCTTTAGTTATTCAGAATCATGGGATATATTTTCCTTCCTACATATCTAGTGATCCTTTATAGGCAACATATCAGATACACAAAATCGCAACTGCTTTTGCCCCACTAGATTTGTTTATGATCCATCAGTTTCATCAAAACATTTCTATTTTCATGTAATGGAATAGATCTATCTATCTATCTGTTGCCTCTTTCTGTCTCCTTATTTGTTGCTCATGTACATAGCTTTTTCATTATGTTGTACAGGTCATTACTTGTAGCAAATGTGGGAGATTGCCGAGCTGTCTTGTCCCGTCATGGAAGAGCCATAGAAATGTCTAAAGATCATAGGCCAAACTGTGCCAATGAAAGGACGCGGGTTGAGTCCCTAGGTGGCTTCATTGACGATGGTTACCTGAATGGTCAGTTAGGTGTCACTCGTGCCATTGGAGACTGGCACCTTGAAGGAATGAAGGAAATGAGTGAAAGAGGAGGACCACTGAGTGCTGAACCTGAACTTAAACTGATGACACTGACCAAAGAAGATGAATTCTTGTTAATTGCTAGTGATGGTATATGGGATGTTTTTAGTAGCCAAAATGCTGTGGATTTTGCTAGAAGGAGGCTTCAAGAACACAATGATGAGAAACTATGCTGCAAGGAAATAGTGCAGGAAGCAATGAAGAGAGCATCAACAGATAACCTGACAGTTGTGATGGTATGTTTTAACTCAGATCCTCCACCACCTGTGCTTGTGGAAAGAACACGAGTAAGAAGAAGCATATCTGCAGAAGGACTTCAGAATCTTAAATGCCTGCTAAAAGAATAAAGCATTTTTGGATGCAAAAAAACAGTTAAGCTGATTTTTTAGAGATGTAATTATGTACAGATATTCATCCATCACAAACACAAATTTATCAAATGAAGATTGCCCTCGTCCTTACCCTCAGGATGGAGAAAAAACAAGGCGTGGAATAATATTCTGATAAATTTACATCATTACAATCATTTTTTCTCACTGATTGGAAAAGTGAGAGCGCAGCTGATTGAAGGAGAAACACATAATGTAATCTGGGACGATATGTTTTGCATATTTTGTATCATTCTACTTTTGTTTTTTCATAGGCTTAATGTAAATAACTGATAACTGATTACTGGGTTTTAGCTTCTCATTTCATGTGTCCCTTCACACGGGTGTAAGTATAGCAAGATATAAAAAAAAACACATTTGCCTTAAATCTTTTGCTATATATTGTTGCCCTTGATTATTATTCATCAAACATCTAATAAGAATATAGATTGTTAATGGGATAGAAAGCAATGGTTATTGATATTTGTTAAGAGAAGCTACCAATCAATGAAGGTGAGGAGATGAATATGCAACTGCTAAACCTACCTTTTCCTTTGGAAGGATTGAGTTAAGAGCCTAAAAGATCAATATGCAAATGCTTTATTTTAAAATTACATAAAATATAAACCATTTATCAAGTACTCTATTGTGAAACATCTTAATGGCCAAGAAGAGTAAGAAACCATTTATCATTACATCAGCCAGTTCCAAACACAAAATGTGCCGTTATACATGACACCAACTTCGAATGTTTAAAGCCATAGTCACGAATATCCACAAAAAGAACAACTAAAGACTGCATGAACAACAAAAGAAGTGGAATTATTTCACATTCTTACATATGTTTCTTTCTTTACAACTGAATCAAGAATGAGCATATAATACAAGCATTGGATGAATCCTTTCAGCAGTTTCTCCATCAATAGCTAATTCCTGTGTAGTAAAAGGTACCATCAAAAAGGCCTAACTAAATAATCAAACGTGAGTATTCCTAAAATATCACTTTCCTGAAAGCTTCTCTCTGATCTCAGTTCTCGCAATACGAATCAAGAATAAACCAGCAAAGAAAATAGACAGAATGAGCATAAAAAAGACACTGTTCCATCCCCTAGTCGAAATATATCCAGCCAAAAGGGGCCCAAGGGCAGCCCCAACAGAACCGGTGCCATCTATGATTGCAGTGACAGTGGCCAGTGCGCGGGAATTAGGATCATTCAAATTCTGTGTACCAAGATCAGCAGCCACAGCAGTTGTGATTAGGGAATACGGACCATTCACCAAAAAACCCGAAAGAAACATTAAAATGATGTTGATCAACATGGAGAGGCTCCCAAAAATGCGATACAAAGCAAGGGCTGGAATTGATAGAAACAGGAACAGAATTGAAGTAATAGCACGTGCTTCAATCAAGTCAGAAATGAAACCAGCTGTGATTCCACCTAGGACTCCCCCAATGTCAAATATTGTTGATAGCAATCCAGCAGTTTTGTGTGAGATATGCACACCAGCAACAGCTGCAACGAACACCAAATTTGCACTTAAGATCATGAAAAGATATATTGGGCAATGTGAGACGTTAGTTTGCACATTAAAACTGGATGTTTTATTAGCAGAAATTCTGGATTAAACCAGAATTGTAGAACAGGAAACACGACACACAGGCCTTAGCCCTAACATTTTCTCTCTCTCTCTCTCAAACGCACATAAAAACAAAAATTACAAACTATAGAAACAGCCATGAAAATATGATTCGTTCAGTTTATTTAGGAGAAATAATCACTTATTTTGTCAGCTTGCTGATAGAGCTTTATAAAACATATGAAAATGCCTGTGATGTGACGCAACTTGATAACGGCCTAAAGACACATCAAATAACAGTGCCATCAAACAAGCACTTTAATTTCCTAGTAGCAAACCCTGAGACAATTTATTAGGAAGATGCAGACAGTGGATATATTTATTTGGATATGAGTAACGTACTGATAAAAGCCAATGCAAACCTATCTAATATAATATACCTTTGCATGTAGTAACAATTACCTGTGTGCTTTATGTAGAAGGGCAACCAATACAGAAAGGTATAAGCCACTAGCTTTGAGAAAAAGAGACAAAAAGCAAATGGAGCCACTCCTGGTAACTTCCATGCCTCCAAAAACCCAATTGCAGTTGAAGAATCTGAACTGTCAGACTCAATAAGCTTAGCTTCCTCCGATTCCACTTTCTGCAGCTTCTCTGCATTTTCGGTGTCAACACTCAATTCGATGTCCATTCCAGGATGCACAAATCCCATATCCTCAGGGTTCACAACAAGAAACAAAAACACCAAAATCCCCACCAAAATTATCAGGAGTCCAGGCACCACAAAGGACCAACCCCAGCCAAACTCCAAAACCCCTGAAGCCACCACTGAACCAATTATATTCCCCACCGAGGTATGCGAATTCCATACCCCCATTATCAAGCCCCTCTTTGATTCCCCAAGCCAATTCCCCACAACTGCAACCACACAAGGCCACCCAATTGACTGAAACAATCCACAAACAATCTGAACACCAACAAAAAACCCCAACACATGCACATCTAACCAATAACCTAACCCAAAAAGTATGGTAAAAATGCCACTACCCATCATCCCAAATACAAGAAACAACCTCAAATCAATCCTATCCCCAACATGACCAGCCAAATACATGCCAATGGAGTAAGAAGTAAGGAATGCAAGATCAAGTTCGCCCAGCCTGTGAATACCTTGGGTTTCATTAAAAGGGGGCCACCCTGCATCATAGGAACTCAAGATGGGAACTTGAGTTTCATTGGATGGCACTGTAGGTCCCAGAACACTCTTGACAATGCTGGGGGGCTTCCTAGAAGCATGGAAGGAAGCATATGCAAGGAATGTGATAACAAGAACACATATTTGGTGAAATAGTAGGGTTTTGTGAGGGGGTTTCAGGCCTGGGAAGAGTTTCAGAGCTGGAGTCAAGCTCAAACTCTCAGACTGCATTCTAATTCATAAGGATTATATTCTACACAATGAATCTAATATAATCTAATGTAGCACAATTACGAAAAGATCAAATATTTCTCCTTTTTCTTCCAAAACTGCCTACAATATTAGAATCTATGATCTGAGGAATGTAAAAGATGGATCCGAGATTGGAGACTGGAATTGAATATGGAATGATCAAAAGGGCTTACTGTATCACCCGTCACGAAGTCACGGTTGTTGGCGTCTAATCTTAAACGTGTTAGAGAGGGGAAAAGTACAAATTTTAGCAGTGGCTAGAAGACAGGGAAGATGGTTTTGGTGGGAAGGAAAGTGTCCAAAGTGGCGTGAAAGAGCAATGACATAAGATAACGGATTTAGGAAACGTGTTAACAACCTTAGATTTGGAGTTTGGAGTTGCAGACGATGCAAGAAGGTGGAAACTGGTAAGATATTGAAACTCAAGATTGCGAGTCAAATACGTTTTCCTCCTCCATAACTTCTCCAAAATGCCCACGGAAAATTCAATATTCTAACTCAAAATACATTATTTATTTTATTTATACAAGCGAAAATATATGAGTTCAAAATTTTTAAATATTGTATTAATGTTAATTATATATAATATTATTTTTTATTAAATAAAAAATAGTTTTTATTCATAATCTTCATCGAGATTTCTCACATACAATGTTCTTAAACATTAAAATAGTTTTTACAAATTTTTAATAATGTTAAGTAACTTTTAATTTTATTTTATTTTTTTACTTTTTGTTATGATAATATATTTAATATCAATTTAGTTTCATTAATTTTAAAATGAGATAATATTATCTATTATCAACGCGTCTTTAATAACAGGAGTTTTTGAGAGTTAATATTTTGTTAAATTTTTTTATTTTTTTATGTTTTAGTGATATTACAAGTTTTTATTTTTTTTATATGGTTTAGGATAGAAGATGGTGCAATTAGTTTTATATATATGGAAAAAATTAACATAGTGGAGCAGTGAGTTAACCTACGTTTGTACAGTGTTAAAATAACATGAGTAACTATGCATGGTTTTCGGTTGATTATACATCAATATTATAACAAAGAATAATTTTAAAATATATTATTTATTGTTATTATATTTGATTATTTTAAAATAAATAGTTTAATAATAAATATAAATAAGATGAGAAAATCATATATAAATATTAATGTATCCCTTGTCCTTTGCACCATCCATTTTGGTCCACTTAGTTATCTTTTATATATTCATCTACCAACGGCATCAATCAATAATTTCAACCTTAATGTATTTTATGAATAAGTGACTAAATTTGCCATTATTTAAGTGAGTAGTAAATTATCTCAAAATTTCAACTTTTATCACCTCTTTTAAATAAATATGTTATGTGTAAAATCTTTAAAAATTACAACCTTATTTTGGATAAAAGATAAATTATTGAATAAAATATCAATTTTTATTATTAAAACACTATTATTATTATTTTACTATAAAAGACAATTTTTATAATAAATATACGTAACATTATTAAAATTCTTTTAAATAAATCATAAATATAAAACTAATATTTTATTACGATCTGGAGAGAATAATAATTTTGTAATTAAAGTTATTTTTTATAATGATTTAAATTTAAATTGATATAAAAAGTAATTTCTATTTTAATTCAAAATTAATCATTGTAAAAATTTATTTTCTCAATTTTAAATGAGTCATTTTTTATGTTGTTTCAAAATTAACTATAACAGTTAAATTTAAATTGTCATAAAAAGTGTTTAGATTCAAATTTTTCATATTCGTTTTATTCTTTTCATTTTGCTTGTTTCAATTTTTTTTTTACTTTTTACCTAACTTTTTCTTTCTTTTGTTTGATGGTCTCTTTATCATATTCATCTTTTTTTTTCTCATGTTTGTACCACCATTTTTTACAATTATGCTTATTCCTTATTTACAACAAAGGTAATATGAAAGTATGGTCTCATCTTTTGTATTAGTTTGTATTTTATGATTTAGTTTTATGAGGTGTTTATAACTATTATTATGAATTATTTTTTGAATAATTTTTCATTATCTTTAAGTGAAATTATTTATATTTTATGTTTAATTACTTTTCATACGTAGATAATGCTTTTATTTAATTTTCAAATTTTATTGTTGTATTGTATCTATTTTATAAAATATTTGTAAGAAATATAATTATTTAAAAAAAATGTAACATGAAAATTTGTATGATAGTTCTAAAAATCGATATAATAAATATTTATTATGTTTATTTTTTAATAACAGGCAGTTTTTAGGTCTCTTAAATATATATCGTCATAAAAAAATCTAAAATAACTGTTGTTATAAAAAGTCTTTCCATCATAAATGAAAAAAAAAAAACTAAAGATATATTGTTTTAATTAAAAAAATTATTAAAAAAACGTATTCTTCTTTAACAATAACAAAAAAATCAATTTAAATATAAAAATTTGACCCACCTTATTTACTTTTAAGAAATAACAACAATCGAAAATATCATTATTATAAAAAATTCATAATTTGACATCTTATATACTTCGTCTACAACAAAAAATACTATTATTATATTAACCAAATCATGTTTTTTTATGTTGCGGTTTCACCGTAACATTTTCTTAAAAAAAATTAACCAAGATACATATAAAGTGGAAAACTGGCATAAAAGTTTGTAGGCTCCAAATAAAATAATTTTTTTTATAGAGTATGATATTATTTAAAATAGATCATATTTTTTTAGTTTAGTTTAATTTAATATTAAGTAAATAGATTAATGATCAAATTTTGTTTTATTGAAAATAAAATTATTAATTTATTTATATCAAATAATTAATTAAAAAATATTAAAAAAAATAAAAATTATATTTTTAAAGTTTAAATTATATAAATAAAATTAATTTTTATTTAATATATAAATTATAAAAAAATGGATCTATTAAATTTCATGATAAAAATTAAAAATTTATTGTTCGTTATCATTATTGTTATTTTAATAATATATTAATTTAAAATAATAATTAATGTTAATGGTTAGATTTAAAATAAGTGATGTTTTAAAAATTTATTCACATATTTAATTTTAAAATAAGTAAATTCCTTATTAAATAAATTTATAGACTTATATATTTTTAATAAAATAATATTATTTTTTATTTTAAAAAATAATTATTATTTTATAAAACGAATTGACCCATAAACCAGTCTAAATTTATGTAGGTCCGGATTAAAATAGGTTTAATTTAATTTAGGTCATAAATTTTAGCATTTTCTTCCTACACCTCCATAATTAAATTAAATTTCTTTTTTTTAAGCCTTTGAATGTCGGATTTGTAAATCTTACTAAAATATTTTTATTATTTCTTCTCTTATTAGTTCAAGAATTACAAGAAACATATAAGAATCTCTAACTATTTTTTCATCTGTGTCAATGTTTTTTTTACCATGTATAGTATTCATGCAACAAGATCTTGGCTGAAAACATGTTTCGAGAAATATATTTACGAATTTTTTTTTTCAAAAATACATCCATAATTGATTTTTTCATAAATACATTAAAATTTTGGAAGAATAATTAGAACCCACCAATCTTGAATACATTTCGGAAAAATCAATTTTAAAAATATATTTTGAAAACATGTTATGGAAAGTAGATTTTGGAATACATTTCAAAAATTCCATTTCAGATTGGTGGGTATGAAATTTTGGAAATGTAATCCCTACCCACCAATCTAGAATACATTTCTGAAAAATCAATTTTAGAAATATAATCCGAAACTAACTTTTCAGAACATGTTTATGAAAAAAAATTTCTGAAATATATTTCCATGTTAGCTTTTCTAGAAACACATTATAGAATATTCAATCCAAAATGTCCAAAAATGCATTCTAAAATTTTTATAAAACTATTCTAGATTCGAGCAATTTGGGTCTCAATATGTAATTTTAATGTAGGAACATATGATAGATATATAATATTAACGATTAGTAACCTTTTAAGTGTTAGAAATTATTTTAAACAGAGATGATAATACAAGAAACCAAATATGCAAATCTATAGAAGTGCAAAACTTTTATAGCAAAATAAAATAAAGGGTTAAGATTTGACATAAAAATTATTAAAAGGATATTTTAGTTGGGATATGGAGGTGGAAGAAGAAAAAAGTGTCTAAATTCATTGTCCTAACTTCATCTATTTTCCATGTCTTTAAACCAACCTAGTAGGTTAAAGCCTATTTTGATATTTCTATCATGAAAATAAAGGTATGCAGTATACCAAATATCAAACTCTATATATTATGTAAAATTGTTAGATTACAATTTTGGGGTTAGTTGTGTATATAATTGAGGGACAAGGTTATTGAAAAAAAAAAAAAAATATTGGAATAAAAAAATAAACTTTTTCAACTTAGAATCAAATGGGTAGCATTGATTTTTTGCCTATGTAAATATAAATATTGTTTAGATAATGGACACATGTAATAATAAACACAGGATAAGACTACATTATGATATAAACACAGGTATTATACAAATAGTTCAAACAGTAACCACTTTTGCTGGTCCCAAACAAGATATACTTTCGAGGAGGAGCTTGATCCACTTACTCTAACCATGAAGATCAAATGGATTGATGCTACTGCTATGCAATGATTTATCATGGTGAATAGACAGATTTGGATGAAGGTTTTCATCGTCTTCAAATGTTGTCCACCCTATTGAGTTTTCATATTTCCCTTCTGTATCATTGTGCCTATTCTCCATTTCTCCAACATTGTTTTTCGATTGTTTCTTCACCACATCTAACACGATTTCACTGTGCCGGTCAGACCTTGGTCTTCAACACAATAAGAAAGGACACTTATTAGCAACACTTGCAACTTTTGGAACAGATAGTAAAATAGTTCTACTGTTAGTTCTCTAAAGCAACTTAGACTTTTAAAACTATGCCAGTGGAATAAAGAAAATATATAGGTTATATTACTGAATTGGTTACTATAGTTTTATCCAACTTTTTCCTGTATCATTGTGCCTATTCTCCATTTCTCCAACATTGTTTTTCGATTGTTTCTTCACCACATCTAACACGATTTCACTGTGCCGGTCAGACCTTGGTCTTCAACACAATAAGAAAGGACACTTATTAGCAACACTTGCAACTTTTGGAACAGATAGTAAAATAGTTCTACTGTTAGTTCTCTAAAGCAACTTAGACTTTTAAAACTATGCCAGTGGAATAAAGAAAATATATAGGTTATATTACTGAATTGGTTACTATAGTTTTATCCAACTTTTTCCTGTATGTAAAAATTATCTTTTCTAATTTTATGAGTTTATACCACCAGGGAGAGAGATTGAAAATAAGATGCACACAGAAGAATTTGCTTGCTTCTGAACACCCTGTTTTATATCATAAGAAGTAATAATTGCATTTCTAAGAAATAGTTACTAATAATTATGCAGAAGGATATCAAACATGGAAAATGACATGATTGACAAATGACATACGAGAAGTTGAGATTTGCATTTGTGCTCCTCATTTCTGTACGGATTCTTAACAGCTCCTTCTTTCCATTGTCCCCCAAAACCTATTTATTCATAAAGAAATTTGGCTCAATGTTCAAAATTTGCTATTCGTGTTCTTTTTTCCAAAGCAAATGTAATTTGCCAGATTGAAAACAAAGAAAGTGTTTCAATTCTCAAACCTTATCATCTACAGAAAAAGCAGAAGGTGATGATAGATCAGAATGCAACTTGTTCATGAGTGAGACTTCACCATATGCTCTTGAAGGATAGGAAGGCAAGTAGGCCTCGCTATCAGACCTCTCATTTAGAGACAGAGGAACTGTGTCATCATCTGTGTCACTTTTCTTCCATTTCCTCAACCCATCAAACCCCCATTGTTTTTTGGCTGATTTCTCTGCCTCAAGACCATCATGATCTCCACCACCACCATGCCCCTCTTTATTATTCTTATCCCTATGAAATAGAGCTCTAAATGGCTTCCTCTTCTTCTCTGATTCATCCCACAAGGGGTTGTTTTCCTTAGAATGCCTCAATTCACTTTGGGTAAAGATAGAAGGAGATGGGACTTTTGATTGTGCTGAGTACATGTGTAAAGTGGGTGAATTTAATATGCTCTTCTCCATCGAGTTTTTACCAGGTTTGAAAGGAGAGCCAAAGCTTAAAACCGAGGTTGCTGCTTTAACAACTTGTTTCCTTGCCTGCTTTGATGTCTTCTTGGAATTTGAGTTATGTTTGTTCATTAAGCACTGCTCATCCTTCAAGTCAATCTCTGACCATTCTTCTTGTGAATTTTCTTTTGTGTCTTTTGACCCTGCAATGATCACTTTCCTGCCTTCAATCTCACCTCCTTGAATTTCCAATCTCACAAGCAAAGGTCTTCTTGAAGAGTGATACTCTCCTTCTGAAATGCATTTGGCATGAAGAAGTTCCTGGTACCAACCAACAACTTACTTGTGTCAATAATTATACAATCATGTTACATTTCATTTAAAATTTAAGTAATTCAAAAGTAAAACTTCTTATTAATACTCTGTCCATGGTGCTAATTGTCTATAGCACTAATCAAGACTTTAAAAAAATGCAAGTCACTTCAATTTCAATCACACAGTTAAGGTTTTATGGATATCTGCAACCACAACGCCACTGTAACTGGGAACTTAGTGTCACATTTGTACACAAATTTTCATGATATAAAAAATCATTATAAAATCACTACCACAACTGGAATTCAAAATGTTTGTTGTGATCTCAGCCGCATTCAATAGTTCGAATCCATCCACATCATCACTAACACAATTGGGACCAAATAAGAAATTTTTTTCTTTAGTTTTCAGCAACATAAAAATTGCTGAACAATCGCAAACATAAGTGTAATTGGGGCCAATGGGCTATCTACTCATTTATCTACAACTCACCTGTAAGAACATGAGTTTGTCTTTGATGATGAGAGCATGATCCTGTTGTGGAGAGGGAGCAGCAAGAAGGGTATCAAGCAAATGGGTCCTGAAAGCTGAAACCTCAGCTTCAGAGAGGATGTCATCTTTGTGAAAAGTCACCAAGTTGAGCATCTGGTGGAGAGAGTCTTGCTGCCATTTGAGGTTGTCGGATCGAAGCTGCCACAACCTTTGCTCTGAGGAAACCAAACACCGTTTCTTGAATCCCAAAGGAAGAATTGTTTTGCATAGGGAGGTGATTGAATCGTGCAGAGTGGAGTAGTACGCAGTGGGTGCCTTTGAGTACCCCATTTTTTCAACAAAGATCACGAATTTGGCACACCAACATGAATTTTATGGAAATTGTAGATGAAACAAACCAGAGGGAACAATGATGTGTTTTGAATCTCGGATGGTGTGCTGAACGGTCACATGATAATGCGGAAACTAGCCGTTGAGGCTCACTTGGTCCTGTGGCAAATGCAAATGCCCAAACGGCATGTTTCCCTACTCTATATCTATTCTTAAACACAATTTTCCATATTTTAGTTTCTAAAAACTAAAACTTTGTTTGATAATTGTTTTATTGATAATTTTCATAGTGTTTTTTAGTTTTTATTAATAATAAAATTATAAATATTTTAATATTAAAATTATTTACATCGAAATTAAATATTTCATAATATTTTTTATTTTTAATAAATATTTGTTATGATAAATTAGAAAAATATTATTACATAAACATCTTTATTAACTTATCACCATTGTATTTTTGGTCTGTTTAATTTTTTTTATGTTATAATCTATTTTGTAAATTTTTTATTTAGAATCATATTTTTAATTATTTCTGTGACATGTAGTGAATTTTTATTTATTTTTATAAATTTATAAATAATAAACAATGTTTATATATTTTAGTATTTACAATTTATAAATGATAAATAATAGTTATAATACTGAAAATAATGATTTAAATTTATTCTGATTTATTTCTAATTTTTTTTTATATTTATGATTTTTTTAATTTGTGGTCTTTTCTAAAATTATATTAATTTTGGTTTTTTTACTGTGAAAAATTTTGTTTGTAATAATGATATGGACAACATTTATATCAATAAAAAATTATTTTAAATTACAATTTATTTATTATTTTAATATTATTCAAAATTATTTTTATTTTAGTGACTAATAAAAAGACAAATATTAAATATGTATGTGTTCATATTTTTTATATAATTAACTTTTTAAAATATTATTTTAATTTTTTATTCTTTAAATATATCTAATTTTTTATATATTTTTATTATTTTTAAATATATACATTATAATAACTTTTTTAATTATAATATTTTTATTTTTATTTTCAATAATTAAAAAAATATAAAATAAATTTTATATATATATATATATATATATATATATATATATATATATATTACATTTTTCACCCATTATTACACCTCTTACAAATGGTGATTTATTGTCAAACACAAAAATATATGGCCAAGATTTACATAAATATACAACTTGTCATTTTCTCTCGATAAAAACAATATATTTTTTAATCAAGTATAAATGTATACCCGAAATTAATTAAAAAATAAATAGAAATTTGTCTTTTATAATAATCTTACTCCACTTAAACAACATTATATCTTCTTTATTAATTTTATTATAAAGATATATGTGGTTTACAACAGTAATATAATATTGTTGAAAATCTTGATGAAGATTATAAAAGAGTTTTTAATTACTTCTTTTATATAATCTCAAATAAATTTATATTTAAGTCTATTAAAATCTAACATGTATTATGAATTATTATGTTATCTATAATGGTATAAATTTCTTTTGTGATTGAAATATTTTGTATAAAGTCAAATACATAGATTGGATGAAAAGGATGAGTCGTGAACATGTTCTACCACTAAATTTTGTGGAGTCCACCACTACAAAGACAGAGAAATAACCCATTATTCAGTGGATTGATGACTATGTGCTTTATTTATTTTTTTAACTTTTTTTTCAATTTTATTTTTAAAGGGAAAAGGACATAGATCCCAATCTTGTCACGGGGTCAAACTAAGTTGAAATTGGACGCAGAATATGGACAACATATTATTATTATTTATTTAAAAATCTTATAAATTTTTGTTTTTTATTATTTATTCTTTCATATAATGATTTACTTATTGTTCACTTAGTAATGGAGACACAACTATGTGTATCAACTCATATTTCGAACAACTGATGCATATATTGTTGTTGACATAATGAAATGTTCTTAAAAATCTTAATCACCCAAAAATATTAGTAAAAAGGCAACCAATGGCAGAGAAAAAAAAAGGGAAAAAGATGTTGATACATAATGATGTAAGGTGATGCACTCACTTTTTTATTCATTATTCTTATTTTCATAATATCATTTTAGTTAGATTATAGGTTTTATTATTGGTTTAAAAGCTTCTTCACTTTTTTAGCTGCAATGAATAAAAAATTATTAGTTTATAATAATTTTAAAAATATTATTTAAGTAGTTTTTCTTAATTATTAGTTTTTTTATATTTTTTATTTTTTATTTTTAAAATATTTATTAAATTATTATTTTAATCATTTTACACAATACAAGAATTTAATATATATATTGTATCTTCTTTATGATAGATTTTTATTACATTTTATATAAGATATCCATTAATATCTTTAATTACATAAAATATAGATAATTGTAATTAACAAGTTTTATTTTTTATCATAAATTTGTTATATTATTTATTTAAACTATTATGATATTTACTAGAAGTGTATATAACTTTCAATTCGATTTTTCATTAAACTAAATATAAAATGTAAATATAGTTTAATTTAATTAGATTTTAATTTAATATATAATCTAAATCAAATGTTGACATTTAGGTTCGAATTTGTTTAGATATTCTATAATAAAATTTTCTCAAATAACAAAATTATAGGACTATTGTTATATTAATAATTTTATTTTCTGTTAAATTTATAAATAAACTATATAATCTTATAATTTAAAGTTTATATCGTAATAAAAATATATTATAAATAAAACAAATCAAATTATAAACTTTGAGAGACATAATTATAAATGTTTATTAGTTGTATTTAATATATAATGTTATATTTACATATATTAACTAGTTTGATTCTATTGTTAATTTAAAATATGAAATTTTAATAAAAAGTGAATAAAAAATCTCATAAAACTTTGGTTTTGATCTATATAATTTTTTTTATCGATTTGTAAGTTTTTTTATTGATTTAATTTTAAATACTCTATTATTTACAATATTTATTTTATTATTTTGATATTAGAATTTGAGATATTGATATTGATGGATTGAAATTTTTAATTTTACAATTTTTTTAATTACTTTAAGTTGAGGTAAGTAAATTACTTTAATTTGAAGAAGAAATAGCTAAGTTAAAAACGTATAATGTAATTAACTAAACTAAAAATAGTTCAAGTTTTTTTTTTAGTTTAGTTAATTTTGACAAAATATTATTCTAGTTTAGTTAAATTTTCGTATAATAAGTTTCAGTAAGCTATTGATACAAAATCTTTATCTTCATTGTTTTTTCCTTACCTATTTTTAATATTTTTTGAAACATTTAATTTGTCAATAAATAATCTTTATCTTCATGTTTAGTTTCAGTTTAACAAAAATAAATATAGTTTATAAAATATAATAATTTTTGTTATTATAATATTAATTTTCAGTTTAGTTTTAATGTATAAATTGTTAACTAAATTTGTAATTAATTCAGTTCATTTCTCTATTTAAAACAAATAGTTTAGTTTAATTTTTAAGGTAACTTGTGAACATTTCATCATAGACTAAAAATATTATAAGATTGTACCATTATTTCAACTTAAAATAATTATTTAAATTAAAAGACCGCAAATTATGGTCAACATTTCTGACTTCAGTTTTATCCAACTAAGTCTACAATTGCACACGCCATGATTTGTTTTAAGAAACTGCAAGTTATGGTCAACATTCCTGACTTGATGTTTTATCCAACTCAGTTTACAATGTCACGCAAGGAAAAATAAAATCTAGAGGGAAAGAATGGTTGTTCTGCAACATGGACAATGAGAGTTATTTTCCAACCATGGTTTCAAGCATCTGTCATGAAACTTATGTGCACAAGGAAGATGGATCAGAGTCTCTCCAACCCTGAATGATTCCAAGCACACGGCACAGTCCTCTTGTTCAGAGGCTTTCCAGCTCCATCTAGTCCAACTGAATTTTCTTGCACCACTTTTCTTTGACCCATATACCTCTGTGTGCAACTCTGTTATGTTTTTTCTTCTGCCTTCCACACATGCTGTGCTGTTTTGCCTGGTAGTTGATTACCCATAAGTTTTAAAAGGAAATAGAGAAAATATCACTCACCTATGTGTGATTATTCTTCTAGGTGTCAAGAATCAACAATTATTTGCGGCTGAAGTGAGGATAATGCATAGTAGGATCATATATTGCTCAAATTCAACTTTTAGTCATCAACCAACAATTCCAAAAACTTAAAGGAAGTGTGATTTGAGCCTGAAGAAAGGATAATGTATAGGATTCATATAAACTGAAATTCAACTTCATTTTTAGTCATACTATGACATAAATCACCAATTTTAAAAACACAAACAATTAGAGAAAGACACATAAAAGATTTAGTATTAACTTCATAGAATCACAAACCATTATGCAATGTATTATAAGTTTGTAGAATGACTACATTAAAAGTCATATCATTGATAATTTCTAACTGATTGATATTATGTATATTTTACAAGGCTAGTTCGGTCATATAATCAGATATGCAGATGTGATTGCAGTATGAAGTTGGCAAGAGGGACAATTACTAAATCTGTTGTGGTGTGATATACTTGAAAGGCATTTTTTTTTTCCTATGCAGTTTCATGCTTAGACTGAAATAGTTAGCCACGGTTTCATTCAGATGGGTCTCTAGGCATGATCTGCTGCATAATTTCTAATGTGGAATGCATTTTTATGCATAAAGTCTAGTCTTTCATCTGTCTAGATATGCAGGGGAGTTCTTGGAACTATGGTGTTGTTCAAAGATGACCTGAAGTAGTATGGACCTAGTACTGCTTTGTCTTTGATTTGGTTATGCTTTCATATTTTGCTTCTTCAAGAAACACAATCAGATCTGCCTAAAAAATATCTTGGTCTTGATTTGTTGTTGTATACCTTTTGTTTTCTGGCATCCTTTGGGCTCTAAACTTGTCATCCAATCTCTGTCTGGCTTCTCTGGCTGCTCCTACTATATCCTCATCCGGGTGTGTCTGGTATAACATGTTTCTTGGCTGTTTTCAATCAAATCAGGGAAGAAAATTAATGATAAAAATGTGCATATAAATAAAAATATATTTAGGGATATTAGGTACACAAACCTGTGAAGTGGATGAAGAAAGACGACATTCATGACTACTACCTGCATACAAACCAAAAGAAGAACGTCTTGTGGACACATATGAAGCTATAAAAGTTGAGTTTGAATCCAAGCATCTGTGGAACCTTCTCCTTCTTGCACATTCAACTCCTGGAAGCATTCCAGCCATGGATTTGTCTATGTTCCAACAGTTCAGAAACTATGAAGTTGCATACATGTTCCCTTGCTTCTTATGCCATGAGCTTGTTCTGTACTTTCTTGTATCATGGTTTGTTCTGTTCCTGTTAGTGCTCTGCTGACATAGGAATAGAAAGAGAAATGATACGAGAGAAAACTGTTGATTGATTTGGAAAGCACAGGTAAATTTATGCCACAGCTGTTGCCATATGCCATTACTTTATGGGAGAAGTCCAAAGACAAAATTAGGCCACAAATTGGCTAAATATCTCTTGCTTATCAATGTTTTGACGTGTTAGGCCTCATTATTCTTACAAAAATATTTATTTAATAAAAATAACTATTCTTTTTTATTTTATATATATTTTTTTAATATTTACCCAAAAATTATAAAATGAGCAAGACTATGTTTAAAAATATAATTTCGTTAAAAAGATGTGTTTTCTTTTTAGTTAATAAAGAAGTGGTTATTAAGTATGATTTTCATTTTATAAAGTTATTTTAAATATTATGTTTTTATTTGAATTTATAAAATAGTTATGTTTAGAAATATGTTTTTTTTTAATAAACTCATGAACACATAAATTTTGTATGTTTATTTATTTTGAAAATGTAAAAATGTAATTAGAATTATTAAAATATATCAAACATGTTTACAATATATTTTATCATCATTTTTTTAGAATTATTATACACTCGTAAAGTTTCAACTCCTTTCATGTTACTATTACCCAATCAAACATTTCATAGGTTGCATTTTGATTCTTACACTCATTAATATTATTAAATAGATATACTGTTTTATACCCTCTCAAAATCATAGAAGTTGGATAGTAAAATACTAATTTTTTTTACAAATATGTTACTACCTAGACTTAATATGCTTCAATAATAAGAATTTAAGATATGTTATATTTTTTTTATTGTATATATAAAAAATTATAATTTTATAAATTTTGGACATTATAAATTAATTGTCCTAAAATAATATCGATCATTACTATGATGTATTTAAATATATTATATTAAGTTAGTGATTAAAAAAATACTATTAATAAAAGACAATTCTATTAGAATTGATATTATTACTAAAAAGTTATATTTAAGGTACAAAATGTTTGTATAATATTTTTTTCAATGTTTTTAAAATAAAATTTTGGTTTATTTATAATTACTGAAAAATTGTTATATTTAGGGTAAAAAAGTTTTTATATAATATTTTCTCCAATATTTTTAAAAATAAAACTTTGGTTTATTTTTTTTAATTATAATTTTTTTTATTCATTCATTTTACAATATTATTTATTATAAATTTTATGTTAAAAAAATACTAACTAATTTATCCAACTATATTTAAAAAAACCAATTTATATGCAGCTATAAATAACTAAGTATTAGAGTAATTTAGAAAAATGGTAGCATAATTTAGAGCAACTTAGTTGTTATCATTAAATATTAAATTTATTATTCAAAATATATAATAAGTAGAATTCTCTAAGAATTTAAATTATGATATTATTAATAAAATGTATAAATACTTTTCATTAAATACTTTGTTGTATAACAATTAACATAGATGTCCCCAAATACAATGCTGTTTTACATTGGATTTAATTACCAAATATCAAGCTTGTTTGTACTATAGGAGTATCATTCAATTTAAGTATAATTTATAAATAAAAAATTATTGAGAATTGAGTATGTTTATTATTATTAATAATCAATATTATTTTATTATAAAATTTAAAATCAACAATGATGATTGTTTCAATTTATTAATAATCAAAAGTTGAAGAGATAGAAATTTTAAAACAATAAAAAATATGAAGTAAATTCTCCATACCAAGACATACTATTTAATTTGTTAAAAAGTAAATATTTTTCTAATAACAATATTTAAAATTTAAGTCAAATAAAAGTTATGTTAAAAGAATTAAAAATATTAAAATTAAAACCTTTTTTTGGTTTTCTAAGCTAAATTGTTTTGGTAAAGTATTTTAAAATTTAAATATATTTAAAACTACCTGTCCCAATTAATGGATTAATTTATTGATTAATAATTTACCTGTGTTACAATTTATAAAATTAATTTAATAAACATAATTTTTTAAATGATAACATCAATAAATAAAATTATTATACATTTCATATTTTTAATTGTAAATTTTTGAAATAAATTATTTAATCAGTACAAATAATTTTAAAGATAATATGCAGAAAAAATATATATACAGTATTAATAAAATGAGTTTAATCAATCATTAAATATAAAGATTTAATACTTCCACATTATGTTTTCTAAGATGAAAATAATTTATTTAAATGGAATTTAATATAAAACATATTAAATAGTATTTAATGAATGATTAACATACAAATCCATTCTCAATTAATGAAAATCTCATTATAATTTTAGATAATTATATTTTTTATCTATGAATATGCTGTGAAAATGTTATTAAAATTATGATTTATTTTAAAAATTTATTTTAAAAATTTATTTTAAAAATTTATTTTTATCTGTAAAATATATCTTAATATGTATATATATATATATATATATATATATATAGAGAGAGAGAGAGAGAGAGAGAGAGAGAGAGAGAGAATTGAATGAGAGGATATATTAATCTTAATAAAATCTTAACTTTTTGAGGTAATTTTCTTACCATGACCTCAAACTCTGAAACCTTGAAGCTTTTGAATGTAGACGGAGGAAGACATATCATAATTCTGATCCTTTGCTCAAACAAAGACAACACATGGTTTTGTTTTGTCTACCTGGGAACTGTAAACATGTTATGTGATTTCAAATCAGGTTTCTGGATTTTCTTGGAAAGAATATGCTACTTATATTCTTTAATTTATTCTAAATCTTTATTCTTTTGCATTATTTTATTTCAGGGAAACTGTATTCTTTTATTGAGTATTACCAAAAGCTTTTGTATCGAAAAATTAATATTTCATTTATTAATGAATGTCTTTATGGCTATTCAAATAATATTTTCTTTTCTTTTGACTCTTTACAACTGGTCCGGCCTATATTTAGTTTAAAATAAATGTCTGTTTATATTTTAAAATTATTCTTAAAAACTATCATTAATTAAAATATGCTCTAAAATTTCATTAATTTTTTTTACTTTTCATAAAAAAATATTTTAAAATTAGTAAAACATTAAGAATAAAATATATTTTTATATAATAATTATGAAAAATATGTGTGTTAATCATAATATATTTTATCTGATTTTAATATAATATCAAATATTTTATTAAATTTTTAATTGGATAAAGTTTTTTTTTACGTTATATAACCGTTAAAATAATATATATATTGATGTGTGTGATTTTAATTATAAAAAATTTAACTTATAGAAGGTTATAACTAATCACAATAAATGTATGACTAGAATTGTCGAATTCCTAAAGTTTTCTTTTAATGAAATTTGAGCAATACATAAATGAATTGTTTCCGCAAATATTGTTGAATAAAACTTAAATTATCGCATATTAGTATATACATCCCTTAACTATTCAAGTGAAAAAATTAATTTATTTTTTAATTATGATAATTGAAACCTTAATAAAATATTTTAATTATATTAAACACAAAGGTCTTACTATAGAGATGGATTGGGACTTATAATAATGAACTTGTCAATTATATATATAAGACTTAGAATTATTTTATATTTTAATTTCATTTTAATGTCTTTATGAATTTTCTTTTTCAACATTAAGAAGAATTCAACTCAATTCTAAACGAAATCATCAATACAAGAATTATGAGTGTATCAGAAAAAAAAAATATATATATATATATATATATATATAGGAAATGTGACCTGAGGATCTTTCCTCCTCCAATTGGTGAAGAATTAAGTGAAGGGATAAAGAAACAAAATGGACGTTGACCCCTTTGGTTAGTTGCAGAGAATCAGAATTCACTACCTCTATTATTCTCTCAAACATTTTTTTCAAAGGATAAGAAGAAAGATATTTCCCAATCATGCCACATCCTTCAGGTTGGTAGCATGGATTCCAAAAGTTAAATAAAATTAGTGGATGGAATATGATACAGCACCACACCATAATTAATCATGTAATGTAAGGCAAAAAGGTTTAATTATTGTAGGAATTGGAAGCCTTTTATATATGTGTCTGTCTTAATCTTAACCTTAATTAAAAGGATTTTTTTATTACAAACATAATATTATTAAGATAACTATGTTTTTCACTTTGAAATTAGGGTTTTTCACATGCACTTGTCATATTCTATTATTATTGAAAGGAGCACGCACATGCTAAATGATGATAATGTGAGAATGGATGAATGAAAAATATACTCCGCTTAAAATGAAATTATTTTAGGCTAAATTAACAATATAAGGTATAATGAATAATCAAACTTAGTTCTTTGATAAAAAAAATAAACAATATTTGTGAGAAACAAAATTAATATATTTATTTTTAATTATTTTTGTTTGATTTAGGAATGACAGAGTCTCGATTATCCATTTAGATCAATTATCGTGTTTAAGTTATTATCTATTTTAAAGTTCTAGTTTATCATGTCGTGTTCAAATTATTATCTATTTTGAAGTTCTAGTTTATCACATATTTATTCTTAAAATGTGTCTCAATGTGGATTAAGAAAAATGATGTATATAAATTACATTTGACCTGGGTCTTAAAAGGCATATCAATGGATTAAAAGAGAATAATGTATATAAATTATCCTTGGTTTCAACTCCTAAAAGACGTTTTGGTAAGTTAAGAGAGATATATATATATATATATATATATATATATATATATATATATATATATATATATATATATATATATAAACTATCCGAGGTCTCGATTCCTAAGAGATGTGGGACTCATGAGCGTACCAAAACATAGCTCCCAGTCGAGGACTAAGGAGTATGAGTAAAGCAAGACTCTGTTTTCTACTCCACAATGGGTGTCAATGTTTCGTCAGGAAAC